TTAAATAATTTGAAGCAAAACAGTTCCCATGCTGGCAAAAATACAATAATATGTGATGCATTGATAACAGTAAGACAATATAACATTAACATTAACAATATAAATATAACATAACACACACACACATACTCTTCACACTATACAAATAATGTATCACCACTCAAACCCGCCAACTCACTGTATTCATAAAAATGAATTAGTTAAATGTTTCTTAACACAAAGACAGCTAGTGTTAAATAAGTCAAAATCGTAAGTGGCAGAAAGTTTGTTAAAGTTTTTGCTCGCACGCCATATAAACGAATTGCGTTTGTAATTTTGTAAAGCTACAGGCAAATAAATAATTGTAATTTTGTAAAGCTACAGGCAAATAAATAATTGATTCATTGCGTAAATGTTTAGTCGGGACCTTTAAGTAAATTTCAGATAGAAGCTCGGGGCAATCAATTATGTTGGTGGTAATTTTAATAAGATAGTTTATATCTGCTATTTCACGTCTTAATTCAAGGGGAAGTAAATGGTGTTTTTTACAAGTGTCTAAATAGTTCGAAGAGTGATATGGCTGATTAGTTTTAAAACATAAATAACGAATAAATTTTTGCTGAATTCTTTCAATACGCGAAATATATGTATTATATCTTGGGTTCCAGACCTGAGAGGCGTACTCCAAAATACTACGCACAAGGGAACAATATAATATTTTTACAGTTTTTGTGTCATGAAAGTCAACTGAGCTACGCATCACGAATCCTAGTGCCCTATTGGCTCTAGTAATTGTGGCATTAACATGACAGTCAAAAAGCATCTTGGGATCGTGAATAACGCCGAGGTCCTTCACAGTAGACACTCTTTGCAACCTATCTCCCTTCAGGATATAGTTGAAGTGGATGGGGTTTCGCTTCCGACCAAATGTGACGACACTGCATTTTGAGGCATTTATGTCCAATTCATTGTCCATACAATAACTCTCTAGACGATAAAGATCTGTTTGTAACTCTTCGGCATCCGATATATTAGTAATTTTGGCGTAGATCTTCATATCATCGGCAAAACACAGCAAATGAGATCATTGGATGCACAGGCCAACATCATTCACAAACACCACAAATAAGAGCGGTCCAAGCAATGATCCTTGAGGCACACCGCTAGGGACAGACACCCAGCTGGATATGTAGTTATTAATAACAACGGCCTGTGACCGGTTACTTATATATGATGCAAACCATCTAAGTAAATCACCTCTGATGCCGATGATAGCAAGTTTTTCCAAGAGTATAGAGTGCCTAATTCGGTCGAATGCCTTACTGTAGTCCGTGTAGACGACGTCACCCTGAAATCCCTCACCCATCGCCTCAGTTACAAAACTGTTAAAAAGAACCAGATTTGAAAGAGTGCTACGTCCCTTTAGAAAGCCGTGCTGCGTTGGACTAAAAGATCCAGCCAAAGCGACGTACAATTGATTGTGTACAACCCTTTCAAATACTTTTCCACTAGACCACCTTACGACTTAAATAATACCCCTAACTATTCCTAGGGATACTTAAGATCAATGTTTTCCGTTTGGATTAATAAATCTGACACCATATACGCAACTTTTTTTCAATGTGAAATATCCACTAATCATTTTATTTATTGACGCAAGGAGTAAAAGAAATTGAATATACGTCAATAATTGACACTTTAGCGATAGTTGATACCTAGGTACTTGTAAAGTAATTACCAGTTCTTATTTGGGTATATTATTACACATCAATTAACACCAATATGAAATGATTATGTGAATTAAAATACTTGAAGGTATCATCATGTGAGCCATACGATTTGAACAACCAGTTTGACCACGATTGACTTTTCTACGAACTACGCGCTTAGACGCCCTTGTGCTACTTTGAATTCGTCACATAGTTCATCGATGTGCTCTAAGGTTCATTGTCACTTTTCCTATTTGCATCAAATTAATACTTAGTGCTGAACTGCTTTACTATGGACAGAGGGGATTCACTTAGAGTGGAAACAAAACGAAAAGGTGAGCTAATGTGCACATCGCTACTTTTCAAGAATAGCGGATCAACCAGAAATTGATTTTTTTTTTATGATATTTTTTCAGAAAAGGCAAAATTTTGTTGTGAACTAGCCTCCAAAGTTTTCGTTGGGTATAATAAAAGATTACTGACAACATTGGGATGCTATTCATTAACTTTGCGTAGCAGACATACTAGGTGACCTGGGCGTATCACTAGCTTTTGGGATAGGCCGCCATAGTACATAGTTGTCGATATATAGGATTAAACATTTTCAGTTGTGTGGAACTCATGGAGTTTTCACTCCTTCACGTTTACTGATAATTTGAGTGCGTATAATGACGTTACTCCAATTTACGAACAACTCATGGATCACTCCTTTGTATTTCATGACCATATTATTGATTATAGACTGACTTAACATTTTTATAAGTAATTTCCATTTCTTATAAAAACATTACAATTTTCACTTTATGGGGCACACAAGGTGTTTTCACTCCTTCATATTTGTTGTTCTATTCGGCTAGTATTTACAGGCACTATTTGTTCTTGTGTAGTCGGATATATCAATATCAACCGCATTTGTTGAAAACATTTCTTCTTTTAGATATTGCTGGTTGTAGGTACTTTATTATTTCCAATATCACTACTTAATGATAATTATCATATTAATGCCAACAAACGCTGGGAATGTTGTTATGAATCAGTTTTGTAAAGGACAGAATAAACCACTCATTCAATGAGTAGGTATGTAGTATTTTAATATAGTGAGAAAAATGTTTACTTAAATGTAAACCAAATGTGAGCTGTTGCTTACACAAAAATTGCGATTTGCAGGCCGCGTCTAATGAGCAAAGAAAGTGTTTGCACTGATTAATTAATACCGTAAAGTTGGTCAAAATTGATTTGCTTTTTTATATATATATATTTTTTGTTACATATTTTTAACATCAACTTTGTTTAAATTGTAAGCAACAAATCTACTCTAGTTATCAATTTCCCTGTAAAGTCACTCACATATTATGTATAGTCGTAGGTGCACATCGCAATTTGTAGTTCATACGTAATTTTGCAATGTAAGTTAGCAATTTCAATACAGGCAATATCAACTACACAACAACGATAATATTATTTTTTTGTAAGCATTAAGAGGCACTTGTTTTTTTTTGGCTAGTTAGTAGCTAACGGTATCAGTTTGTTTATATCATTTCTCGAGCTAATAGAATACGACACGGGTGTAGTACACCATGATATGCGGATAATATGTTATTTAATGGATTTAAATCTTTGCAATAAATCGTTGCAATAAATGTCTATTTTATTTTATTCTAAAATAATTCTTGTCGTTATTCAAAAATTGCCATTTACGAGGTTTAAAACTATAGTGAGACAACAAATTTATCCAAAAGATTTCTTATACAGCTTCTGCGCACTTGGATGTCAAATCCATGGTAGTGACTCGATTAGCTCTTGTTGGTTGTTGTAACCTGTGACTTATGAAATAAATATTGTAGATCATAAATTTGTTCAATTATTTTTATTTACAAAGAGTAACCAGATTTACTTTGCGGAAGTCCATGTTAATAAAAATGGGAGCAAATTAATTTATTACTCCGCGAACCCGGTGGAGATTATATGATGCAAAAGCTACGCCTGTGTTAAATTTTTGTTTCATGCAGTTAATTCTCCCGCCCTCCGCACGAAAACACAAGCTCGGCCGAGAGTTGAACTATCAACAACCCCCGAGGATGCCTCGTAGAGAGGCGAAACACGTGTCGAATATATTTTTGGTGGTAGCGTTGTGACTGGAGTTGCACTTGTGTTATTTATTTTATTAATTTTATGCGGACAGAGAGTGGCAAAATTAATAATAATAACAATAATAATAAAAGATTTTATTTCGGACACAATCCATAGCTTGTTAGTATTACAACTTATAATGTAATGTTAGTATTTTACAACTATAGTGGTGGCAAACATAGTGTTATCGCTAGAATTCCCCAACGCTAAGGGTGAAGCTGCTTCCAGCTGCGTAGTATTGGGGAATCCCACCGATCAGCGAACACCCTCAACAGTCAGTTGGTGGTATGGTATAAACATGTCAGAACAGTAAAAAAACATTTACATAAATTTACAAAACACACACAATTTATTTTAATTTACGTGTTTTGTAAATTATTTTTTAAGAATTCACAGCTAATGACAATAAAAAAAAACAAATCAACAATAATACAAATACCCTGAAATAAATATACATATTTAGGAGACAAGCAATTAAACATCTTATGTTTTCAGTCTGATTCACTGTTCAAGATGTTCCAACATCTGAGTGAGAAGTCTGATGATGCTCATCATAGGTACCCAGCGAAGCCACTAGTTATTTCGGGGAATGAAAAAATGTTTGTGCCCATACTAAATGACCTATTATGCTGGGCGAGAGACGCGAAAACTTGCGTTGACGCTAAGGCTTTCCCAGCTTGTCCATAGCACCACAAGGATCCCAGACGTTAAGTCTCATACGACTAATTGCAAAAGAAAAACTCTCACTTTCACTCTCAATATCTCCTTAACTATCAGGTTCCCAGACATGGCCACATACAAGAAAATACTAATAACGATGAGAAGAATACGCAGTTTTCGTTTTTGTTAAGTCTTTTTACTCCCTATTAGGAACCTATCAGAGTTCGGTTACTTGCATAGGTTGGTGTTCGCACATTTAGTGTTGGGTGGTTTCAATTCATTTTGTCGAAGCCAACATGTAGTGCCACGAAGATTTTGTGCAGGTACGTGTTTGGTTAGGTAGTATTTTGATTTAGCTGTTTGGATTTCATTACGTGTTTTTTTACAGTATTGGTTTTCTAATGGGGCTGACATGTTCAATAATGAACAAAGATAAATAAATAAAGAGTTAAAAAAATGTTTAGTACGCTATCCCACTGCCCGTGTCTACTGATTATACTGGTGTCGCTTGTTGCTCGACAGGCGCCCGCGCCCGTGATGGCGGCGGTGGACCGATACATGGCGGAGGGGCTGGTAGTACTCGTGCCGTTCCAGCTGCCCCCCGCGCCGCCCGCGCGTCTCGTGCCGTCTGTGTCCGCTGCCAAGCGCCGGCTGCTCCCGCTTAACGACTGCATGTACCGCGCTCTGCAGCAGGGCCACTCCGCGCCCGCTTCGGCCTGGCTCGGCGCACTTACCACCTCCGAAATACTAGTACCTGTCAGGTAATGGCGATTTCACATAAATAACATTGTATACGCGTCTCCCTGCGGATGTTTGTCCAGAACAGCTATCGCTGCTTGACCTTGATAATACTTTTGTATCCAACAATTTGGTGCACAGTAAATAATAATAGGAAGTATCAAATACATAAGGGCGGACAAATATTATTATGTGAACTTTGGGTCAGATTATTGCACTTATAACATTGCCTTACAATTATATGGACGTCGGGTCCGCGCTAAAAAGTGTCCGAACTTATAGGGCGTTAAAATCATATACAGAGCGTCATTCACGCTTTAGTCTTCGTTTGTTCGACTGACAGCGAAGCAAGCAAAATTAGACAGTACTGCGATGACATTACAATTTAAATTCAACGTTTTAGCTTTTTCATATTCCTTTACATGTCACTACGTTTAAATAGGTTGACTTGGGACATTTTTTCGTGGTTTTTGTATTAGACCCGTCGTCCATTTATTTGTAAGTCAATGACTTATAAGCTACAATTATCGCAAAGTACTGAAATTGTAATGGTCGGTTCCAGTCGGATTGAGTGAGCATGAGACATGAGCATTGTTGTGCGAAAAATCTGGTTTGACCCGGTGCTGCGTGTAAAATTTATAATCAAGGACAAAGAAGTCTTACACACAACTGAAACAAGTTTCGAATGGAAATAACCAGATGCTTTATTTACGTTAAGACATGAGATTATGTCTACTAGTCACGAGGCGCGAAGCGAGTAACAAGTGTTTTGTGTCGTCGATTTAAAAAAAAATCTTGTCTTATCGTCCGTTCTCCGAAGTAATTTTTACATCATAAAGAACATACGTGACAACCAGTACTTCTATGAACCTGTGAAGTGCCTAATTTCGTGAAATTAAAAGTGCAAAATCACTCAACATCGAGTTCAACGTTACGCATGGCTAACCGGTTCGAGTTTAAAATTCCGTTACACCTGTGTAGTTATATCCGCTCACGCGATGCGCTCATCCTACCGCAAAATGGCGGCTATTTGGTTTCGCAAATTAGAGAAGGATTCAGTTTAAATTGGTACAAGTTTTTAAAAATAAAAATTATTATTCTACATTTCTAAATATATACCCTCCGTACTACAACAAAAACATCTCAAATAAAATGCAGTGATACACCGCAAATCCTGCACTTAAAAAGCACTAATGAAATTTTTGGTGTACTTGGGTAAATATGATAATATTCCGTTTGAATGGTTCTAATGTTTACCATGAAATTACTCCTTAAAGTATAGTTTATAAACATTTATATTCAGGGTAAACTTAAAAAACGCAACTTACGGTATGTTTTCAATAAATAAACAACGACATCACCAGCCCAAACAATAACACACACGATTGTCGTGACGTATTTTTGAAGTTGTTTATTTTTTTTTAATGACAGAATTAAATTTTATCAGGCATTAAAAACTTTATGGTTTGCTAGAGTAGTTACCGAAATAGCAATTAGTATTAGTTCTTTTACCTGTTATAACTTCGATATCCGATAAATCGGTATAAAATCATCACCGGCACCTCTAGGTGTGGTATGCTTCCAGAGACGCATGAATCGCGTGAACGGATATACTAAGCAACTTAGACTTAGAACGTACCTGGCTATGCCCAGACTGCTTATTGGTGACACGATAGCGTCCTAAAAATGATGACACCCCGATGCGATCACACAGGCTATCTCTTGATGACATCAATATGTCAATAGACGAACGGCTTTGTGAAGATCATTGTACATTAGGTGACACCTTAAATACAAGAAATGTACCTAGCCCAGTTCAGTCACAAATGAAAACAGTCGCAGAGAAATTACGCTTACACTTGAACAAATAGGAAGTTTATTGGATGAAAAATTTAGAACTTATACAAAATATCTACTATCGGAAATGGTAACACTTATATCAACAGTAAAAACCGATATTAAATTTGCTTTAAATGAATTTAAATTAGAAATAATAAACGAAACAAAAACCCTAACACTCGAACAAGAAAAGCTAAAAGCCGAAACAAAGGATTTAAAAAATAAAATTATAAAACTAGAATCTGAGAAAACATGTTTGAACAACAACTAACTGACTTACAGGACAAAGTCACTTCTTCTCTCGCAAGCCATCAGAATATCATTAGTTGCGAGTGTGATGTCCAGCGAAAATTTGTTATCTACGGACTAGAGGAATACCAACACGAAACTGAGCCTGGGTTACGTGACAAAATAGTAGACACCGTCGGTAATATTTTAAATGTGAATTTAATGGGATACATTGAAGATGTACGGCGAATAGGGAAAAGGATATCGTAGACCACTTGTAATTGAATTGTTAAGTAAAAAAAGGACGAAGTATACTCTGCAAAATACTGGTAGTTTCAGAAATACTGGAATTGGAATTTCTGAATTGTTAGATAAAAAAATCTGCTCAAGACCGTAGGAGAATGATTGACATTGTGCGCAAAGAACGAAAACAAGGAAAACATGCTGTCATTCGGAATAATAAATTATATACAGAAGGGAAGGAATACGAAGGTGTACGACAACCAGTAGATAACCCCCTACGACCAAGAGCTGCATACATCAAACGTTGAAAATAAATCTGCACCGTTCAAGCCAAATACTAGTTATTCCTTTCGAAAATAGATTTCAAATGATTGCACAAAACTGTTCAAAGTATTAATAATGAGATAAATATTTGAAAGTTGGTTAAAGAATCACGATTTTGATGTGCTTTGTCTATCTGAAACATGGATTAAATAGGATCAACATCAATACTTTCAATTCAATGAATGAGTTAATTCGCAGCCTGCTATAACCGACGGTTTCGGATTGGAGGCGGACCAGCCATACTAACGCTTATAGGTATCTTATAAAAAACGGACTGATTTCGAAGAACTGTCTATTGAAAGTATTGTTGAAAGTTGCTTTATAGAATTGCCTTATCATAATATTGTTCTACTTAATATATACAAAGTGGATCGCAATATAGACAAAATAAAACCATTAAATTATACAAAATACGTAATTGTAACCGGTGATTTTAACATAAATAATTCTCAAAATTCGGCAAATTATAATAAATTATGTAACAATTTTTTGGAATGCAATTTACACCTGATCATTGAAGCACCAACGCGAGTAACGGATAAATCATCAACTTGCATCGATCTCCTTTTTACAAATCACAAAGAATTTACAGTATCAATACTAGACAGCGGTTTGTCTGATCATATGTGCCTATTCTTTAGTTGTAAAATAACAAATAGCTTAATTAACCCCACCAAATTTTCTCTAATGAGAATATGTTACTCTTCAAAAAAGAACTCGTAAAATTAGACTGGAATAAAATAACATCAAATAATCATAATAATAAATAATAAGCAAAAGGTATTGACCAAATGACCATTGACATGTTACTATTGACTCTTCCGACAACGCTTGAGATATTAATGGTCATGGTTAATAAGAGCATCGAGACCAGCACTTTTCCGACTGACTGGAAAACAGCTAAGATAGTCCCTCTGCCAAAGAAGCATAATCCTTCCACTTTGTCCGAACTCCGTCCTATCAGCATTCTTCCATGCATGTCCAAGATAATAGAAAGGGTTGTGCATAAACAGCTTTCGAAATACCTGGAGAGGATCAATATCCTTCCAGCATTCCAGTCTGGCTTTCGAAAGGGTCGAGCCACAGCAACAGCTCTGCTGGACGTGGTCGACAATATTTTGGCAGCACAGGATGTTGGGAAAAGCACGTTTCTGGTGTTATTGGACTTCTCCAGAGCTTTCGAAAGTTTGAGCATACCACTTCTATTCTACAAGATGTCGTATTATGGATTTGACACTGAAAACCATCGAATGGTGTCATAGTTATCTTTCAGATCGGGCTCAAACAGTTGAACTGCTTGGGGTTAACGGTGCCACTGAGTATTCCTCTCTCCGCCCTGTAACTAGAGGTGTGCCTCAGGGTTCCATTTTAGGGCCGCTACTACTTATATTATACAGTGCCGATATCGTTACTAGCATAAGAAACTGTAGCTACTACCTGTATGCGGACGATTTGCAACTATACATATCGGGTAAGCCATCTGATACTATTGCTTCAGTCAATGACATCAATGCTGATCTAGATCGTATAGCGGCGTGGTCTGATAGGAACTGTCTAGTACTGAATCCGAGTAAGTCTAAGTACATGGTGCTTGGAACAAAAGGTCAAATCCATAATACACTGGAAGCCAGATATATTGCGGTTATGAGTGAACCAATGGAACGGGTCGATAGGGTCAGAAACCTCGGAGTACTGATGGACAGTGAACTTCGTTTTGAGGAGCATATCCTCAATGTGACGGGTAACTGTTTTTATCGACTCAAATTGTTGTATGGTATTCGTGATTACCTTAGCGTTGATTTGCGTGTACACCTTTGTGAATCACTGATATTGTCGCGGTTAAATTATTGTGATGTAGTATATAGTGATTGTATTTTTAGTAGGTCGTGTACAAAACGCATGCACACGCTTTTGCTTTCGGATGCCTCCTAGATCCCATATCACCCCATTTTTGAATGCTGCAAGCCTTTTAAATATGACTGCTCGTCGGCAGCTACACCTCTCTATGTTGCTGTTCGGTGTAGTGAGTACCGAGACACCTGAGTATCTCTATCGCAAACTTCGTTGGTCTCAAAACTGTTTTAAGTAAAAGGTTCGGGCTATCCGTTCCTGCTCACCGCACAGCAGCTTTCAGAGGAAGTTTCAGGTTTGCGTCATCCAAGTGCTGGAATGATCTACCCCCTCCTCTTCACGACACTTCTAGTAGGAATGTTTTTAAGCGCAAGCTTAAGGCTCTCCTGCTAGAAAATCAAAAGGGATTGTGTTAACTTTTTCCAGCACCTATTTATTTATACTTTTTATACACGTTTGTTATATAATATATTAGTTGCTTGATGTAGGTATAGTGTATACGTATTAATTATTATAATGTATTTTCATAGTTATACATAAATTATTTGGAAGTATTTAAACATACAATGAAATGAAATGAAATACACAACACACACACCCACACTCACACACACACACATCTGTTACAGTTTTAATATGTACGTATATATAATTATTTTACTGTTATATTCAAGTACCTAAGTATGCTTGCATATGTTGTTCCGTGACCTCACTTAGGGTCTTAACTGAAAATCAGTGCTGGGAACGCGTTGCGTTTTCCAGCAAATACTGAGTTTGTGACCCTTTTGTTACCGCGGCTGGCACCACACAAGGTATCTCAATATTTAGTCTTCTTTTTATTATTTGTGTGAATAGTTCATGTTTTAACTTTATCTAATTTTTGTATATACATTTTTATTTTGTGTTTGTTTGTGTTTTTGTTTCGTAATTATATATTTGTTTTACGTTGAATGTTTTGATCGTGTTTTGTTTTAGTTCTGTTTTGTTCCGATTTCTCTTTCTTTTGTCTTTTGTCTTTTGTGGTGTCATTGTGGTAAACAAATAAATGTATTTTCTTTCTTCTTTCTTTCTTTCTTTCTTTCTTTCTTTTATAATATTAATGATAACTATCCTTCATTACATTTTTACTTACCATATAAAAGAATTAAATTAAGAACAAAAACTAACGAGAGGGCTTAAAGAATCATGTCGACACAAACGACTGTTAAAATCATTGGTAAATCAACCGAATGATAATATATATTAAAATCTTATTGCAAGATTTACCAAAATATCTTCTAAAATATCTTAAAAAAATATCTTAAAAAAATTTATAAAAACATTAAAAAAATTAAACTATAAAAACATAATAAAAAAATCGGAAAATAAAATCAAAGCAATGTGGAGCATTGTTCAAAATTACAGTTAATTCAATGTACCTTCGACCGGTACCTGAACGTGAAATGTACAAATTAATAAGACCTAACAAGTACAGTTATGGAGCAGATGCCAACCACCCAAACCACCCAAACCACCTAAAGCAGTATTAAAAAAGGGCGATACTAAAGACAACATTACCCACTACCGACCCATCGCACTATTACCTGTAATATCAAAATTTTTTGAAAAGGCGATGGCAAATCGCGTGTATGTCGTTTTGGGAAAATCAGTTCGGATTCCGGAAACATCGATCCACAATTGATGCTATTTATATAAACATGCAGGAAGCAATATCGTATATTAATGATAGATATTATGCCGTCGGAATTTTACTAGACATGACTAAGGCATACGATAAAGTCCTCCATACCATATTGTTTTTGAAACTATGTGGGATCGGAATCAGGGGGAATCACACCGATGCTTTGAGTCGTATTTGACGAATAGTCGTATTTGGCGAATCATTCGAGAATGAAGTTCGACATATTAAGCAATATGTCGAACTTCATTCTCGAATAGATTTAAATGGGGAGATCGGACGAGTATGTTCTACGATGCGCACCACAAACTGTTCAATTCCGCAAGGTAGCTTACTGGGATGTATATTATATCTAATATACATTAATGACTCACCGGATACATTGGGATCGCTATGTGTTATGTTTGCCGATGATATATCATTACTTTTTAAATGTAAAAATGACAACCAATATTGGAGAGATATTGTAGATAACTTCGAGTTGGTGAAAAACTTGTTGACTGACCATAATCTTAAAGTAAACCTTAAGAAGACTAGAATTATTCAATTTCGACCATACCAAAAGGAAAAACTTGACCTACAACTAGTTACAACGCGTGTCAATGTAGAAGTAAATGCATTTAACTTAATAGGACTAACCATAGACTCACACTGTAACTGGAAGAATCACATCGAAAAACTTAAATCGAAATTATCACAATTTAATAGTCCTTATAGAGCCACTAAAATATATAATAAGATTCCATTGACAAGAAATGGACGTCGGGTTCGCGCTAAAAAATATATAGTATATATAAATGAATCGTAAATATACATTACAAAAGCACACAAAATAATTAAATAGCTAACTGTCCTTTTTCTGCACACTACATGCGCAAAGGATGGAAAGAGACCCAGTACGTCAGTTTCAAGAAGCTTATATAAACTTCTTGGTCATTTTCAATTGTTCGAACCACACGCGATTGAAATATTTAAAACAAAGAAACTATAATAGAAATAATATACTATAAATATAACTATAATAGAAAATATAATAGAGTCGCTTTGATTTTAATATTATTTTTTAAATGATTTTTTTATTAAACGTTAGCATTATCTAATAAAATATTGTTGTAGGTACTCGTTTTAAGGCTTGGGATTACCTATCAGTAGTCAGAAAATACATTTGCCCGCAATAACGTTAGCTCGAATTTTCATAATGTCAAATGTATTTTTTAGGAAGATTACAAAACAAAAGCTAATTTTGTCTATGTGAAAAGTATAAAAATTACTCGAAAGCGTAACGGTTTTATTATAAATCGGTTTTCGGAATTACGGATATTTGAGTTTACGTTTAGTTGGAATATCGGTCCATTTCTTATAGTACACGCTTATTTTCACATTTGTAGTAATATTTGTATGTATGTATCTGCCCAACTCTTTATTATATCTTTAAATGAATTTGTACAAAATTCGACATAATAATGTATAGGCTGCATATTTGAAAGTGAGCCATACATATATAGAGTGCGTTGTATTCCTGATTCTGAACCCAAGAAAACAGTGCGTAACTTTATAACTAGATATAAAGAGCATGTTTCTTCGTTTAGACATAAGCACCCAGACAGGTCCAATTTCGCTAAACATTTGTTAGAAACAAATCATATTTTACCAGTTTCCCCTTCTTATGAAATCTTACATTTTTGCGAAAAAAGAGTACGTCTGGGTGTCTTAGAACAGATAGAAATAATTAGGTGCAACAACAGGGGTTGTATAATTAATGAACAATGGAATTTTGCATCATCACCTTTATTACGGGTATTTTCGGGTTTCAACAATAGCAACACATGGGGTAACGGCGTATAAATACACCAACCGTTCTGAACGAGCTCACTCTTCGGCCGAGCGTCGATCAGTCAACAGCCCCTGAGGATGCCTCGTGGAGAGGCGAAACACGTGTCGGGTATATTTTTGGTGGTGGTTTGTGACTGTAGTTGCGCTTGTGTTATTTATTTTATGCGGAGGGAGGGGTGGATAATTAACTGCATGAAAAAATATTCAACATAAGCGCAGCTATTTTGCACGATTTAACCTTCTCTGGGTTCGCGGAGTAGCAAATTAACTTACTTCCATTTTTATCCTTCATTTTCAGTATAAAATTTCAAGTTATTTGAAAATCGGAACGTTCAGCCCCGCCCTCCCCTACCGACAGTCAATGTGATATTTCTTTAAGATCAATTTAGTTGTACACGTATAGCAATACATAAACAAATGAATAAAAATATGTTAAGAATAATTGCATTACGAAGTATTATGATTTTAATTTCCTGCGGTTACATTTCGAGTTTACAAGACATACTTTTAGTTTTTACTAGTTACACATATAAATGGTTAACGTTAAGTACACTTAGAGCGAATACACTGCACTAAGAGTTTCTGAAAGTACTTGTGTGGTATACGGATATGACAGTTATACGTCACTGATAATTTTAAGAAATTGTTGTTACTAACCATTATGGACCAAGAGTCTGAAATAAATCATTATTATTATTATTAAAAACAGTTCTTGCCAAAGTCCTATCTGACAAGCTGACTATTTTTTCTCTTCGACTAGACAATGGATCTCGTTCTTTGGCTCATTTTACTGAAGCAAGCAGTCACAAGTCTGATTTAATCCGATTTTCCGTTTTGATAGTGATTGTTGTCAGTTAACAGTTAAAAGAAAATTCCTTTCCTCCGCGCCAAAGTGTTCGAATTACATACATACATAAATGTTTCTTATTCCCTTCTGCGTATTTTTTTGTCTTTCTTTTTTACTTTTCGGACATTCGTCTTTTGTCAAAGGAAAACATAGAAGTTAAAATACACAAGTGACGGTACCTCTATGATGTGCCTTTTTTATATTAAGACATTAAGAATCATCTGGCGGTTAGGGACGGCACGTGGATGCGGCTGACGGCGCGAGTGGCAGCCGCGGCTGCGGCAGGCGCGCCCGACGCGCTGCGCGTGCACAGCTTCTGGGTGCCGCGGCTCGCGCAACGCGACCTAGCGCACGTCGCCGGCGGCACGCGCATGCTGGCACGCACGTGGCGCGCGGCCGAGCCGTCCAACGACAGTGAGTGACCTCCGGGTGGCAGTTGAGGGCGTCGCGGCTTCGTATGCCGACGGCCTGACAACGGACAACGGACGTGCCCCGACCCACCCCGCAGGCGCGCTGGAGCGGGTGCTCTTCAATGCGGCGAGCGTCGTGGCCGCGCTGCCCTCGCGGCCGCTGTGGTGCCTGGCGCGGGACGGCGGCGCGCGCGCCTGCCGCAGCCGGCGCGTGGCGGCGCACGAGGCGCGCGTGCTGCGCTTCGACGGCGCCTGCGCGCGGCCGGCGCCCGACTGCCGGCGCCTGGTGCGCGACGACGCGCTGGCGCCGTGGCGGGAAGCCGTCGCCGCGCACGTGGGCCGGGTCGTCGACGGCCTCGGCGGCGAGGGCCTCCTCGTGCCCGATGGCAGGAACTGACCTCTCGGTTCCGAGTGCCGCCAAGGAAATTGATCAATCGGTTCCAAGAAGTAAATGTAACTCGCCGAATTGTCATTAATATACAACGGGTTGATTTAGTCTTTATATACTTATTTAAGACAACGAAACTAAATTCTTGATTGTTGACGCCTTTGTCTATTGAGTTGGAACACATTACGCGGTTATCTTAGTATAATAATTAAAAAAAGGTTTATGTGAAATCCAATAGTTATTTTATTTGTCCGACTAACCCACTGTCAATTTTTTTGTTGTGGAGAAGTTTGTGGATTCATTATTTTAGAGAAGTAATTAATCAACGCGTAAAAGTTACAATATATATAGGGCCTTAGAATAATAACGCATAGAATGATAGTTTCGTACCAAACGAACTGTCACAAGCGAGGCAAAAATCAAATTCATGTAGGCGTAAGCAACTTGTATCTACGCTCGTCGGCACGCACACCAATATACAAATAGTGATGCCATGGAATAACATTTCCCTCAAAAGTGGGGAAATTGTATCTTGCTTAACTCATCATTAAGTTAAGAGTGCCTACAGATTTGCCCGACATTGTCGATCAGGGGCCTACAGATTTGCTCGGTTTTGTCGATCGTTAATGTCGATCGACAATGTCAAGTGACACGAATTTCCAAAAATGTATTTTTGGTAATCCTTATGGAAATGGCATTTATATCTGAATACACGATGACGGACACGACTTTTCAAATAAATGCAATATGGGAATAATTTTCGAGGTATTCGAGGTGCTCATTACGAATATGGCACTCATTTCTAAATCCAAGATGGCGGACGCGGTTTTTCGAATAATGGCAAGTTGGGTATCCTTTTCAAGGTATTTGGGGGTGCTCATTACGAATATAGCATTTATTTCTAAATCCAAGATGGCGGATACGAGTTTTCAAATAAATGCAATATGGGAATCATTTTCGAGGTATTTAGAGGTGCTCATTACAAATATGGCACTCATTTCTAAATCCAAGATGGCGGACACGATTTTTCAAGAAAATGCTATATGGGTATCATTTTCGAGGTATTTGGGGATGCTTAATTTGCATATGGCACTATTTGTAAATCCAAGATGGCGGGCACGATTTCTCGAATAATGGCA